TTTTTTTTAGCACAGGGACCTTTCGGTTTCCGGATCCACAGGGGAACCGACTAATCCGAAATCGAGCCGGGTAGGACCACAAGGGCGGCAAAGCTCTCCCTCAAGAGTTTTTAACACTGCTGCATCTCAGGGCTCGAACACGAGACCACTGGTTAAGCTGGAAAAGACCCAAACTATCTCATCCAAGCGCTCTTGAGTTACAAGTTAGATTTTAGTTAGGTAGATTATTTTTCTTTAATTTATTTTATTATTATTTTGGAATGTTTACGAAATGCTATAATTTAATTAAATAATTATTTTAACTGTTTCATTTAAATAGTCTGATTTTATAGAAAATTACATTCAGTTCTTAGGATCCTCGTTAAGTTATCGTCACCATTACCAATCATCTACTTTATTAAATAATTATTTTGACTGTTTCATTTAAGCATTCTGATTTTATAGAAAATTACATTCAATGCTTAGCGAAAATAAACATACTCGCACATAAGTATTAAGTTTTATTATTAACTGATGATGATATTCATGTTCTTTTGGATGACATTTAGTCTATATCGTATAATTATTGTTTAGTGTTTACCAACATGATGAGTGTTAAACTTTATGGAAATTGTTGACGAAATTACGCGTGATGAGAGGGAAAGAAAATTGCTATGCAAGATAAAGGCGTGGGGTAAGGACAACCGTGTTGCATCTGATGAAAGCTAATGTTTGATCTGGTGTTGCATGCATACACTTGCTTGTTTCGCATTCTTTATTATATGAACACTAGTACAATATCCGTGTAGCGTACTTGTCAATTATTTAAAAATAAATAATGATAACAACAAAAATTGTTTTAGTTTTTAAATAGCTTTTTTTTAAAAAATATATTATTACTTATATTTAAATTGACATCGTCGCTTACACAACTTACCATCTTATATTATATATTTTTCTAATTTATATCAGATAACTACTTAGCAGTTACGTTAGTTTAAACATTTTTATATTATTTTCGAATTAATATTAACTAGTATAACACCCGTGTATTATATACCGGTGCTTGTTAAAAAAATTATTCTTAAATTTTAAAATTAATGAGAAAAATCTATATTAAATCATATTTATTTTTTTACCAAAAATATATATATTACTATATATTTTTGATTAATGATACTTGTTACCTGTGAGTTACATGTGTTATATTATAGTAATTTTTATAACTTATATCAAATAACTACTTGAAATACAAATATATTAACTGACAAATAATTTTATTTTTCTAATTAATATTAAAAATAATTTTGTTATTGTTAAAGATAGATATAATTTATTCTTTTTATACATACAATGTGGATATTAAATCGAAACTCATCAATAGATGATTAATTTGATATACTACATATGTATAACTGATAAAAAATACAAAAGTTATTGACTTTTAAAATATATGTACAATTCAATAGTTATAATAAGAAATGATATTAAAATGCAATTCATATATATAACATGACCATAAATAATTAGCATATTTATGGTAATCCGAACATAATTATTTTTTGATTGAAATTAAATTAAAAATCTACCCAAGCCTAATAACGAAGCATGTAATTTTGCCACATAGGATCGCGAACCATGCGAGTCTGCCACTTAGGCTCAGCATATTCTGATTTAATATATAGGGGCGATAGGTAATTTAATTTTAGTTATAAATGTAAATAAAACTATTTAATTATTTTATGTGTATATATAAATTTCAAATCAAAGTTCATTAACAAATGATTAATTTGATTTATTATATATAAAAAATTGTTCAAAAATAAAAAAATTATTAACTTTTAAGAATGTTTTTAAATTAAGTTAGTAAATTGGTTTTAATTTTAAAATAAACATGAGAAAAAAAAAGAAAAGATTGAAAAAAATTATACCTTATAAACTACGTCTACAATATAAAATGAGGTTAAAACATAATTAATGCTCTTAAAATTGAGATTAAATATACAGTATATTTATGAATATTTCAAGCATAGTTACTTTTGGATTGAAAATAAATTAAAATTTATCCAAACCAAATAACAAAGCTTGAAAATTTTGACACTTACAAGATTACGAAGCGTGCAAGCCTATCACTTAGGCTCAGCGCATTCGTGAATTATATATATAATGCATTCTTTTCCAAAAAAAAAAAATAGTAATTTAACTTTTGTTTTAAATTTATAAATACTTCAAAAAATTTAAATATTACTTTTAATTCAGATGATACCCGTTTTTGATACCCAAAATTTGGCCTCGACTAATATGCTACACGTGGATATATATTAAATAAATACAGATACTCTTAGTTGATCATTAATATCAATCGAGTCCCCAAGTGTCCAGATCATCCGCGTTCGAGCCGAGCAGAATTAAATATCCTCAGCCCGACCTGAATATCGAGAAGAATCCTTTCCAGTAGACACAATAATTGCCGATAAAGTAGACGTCAGTCGAACCGTTAAGTGTCATAATCGGGCTCCACGATGTCATCTCATATTAAATACTAGTGTACTCTTTTTATCTATTTTTTAATTAGTCCACTTATTGAAAAAGGCATAT